ACCACAATGAAAGGAAAATTACAGCAAGACACATAATAGTAAAGATTTCAAGAGTCCAAGATAAAGAAAATATATTGGAGCTGATAAGGGGGAAGAAACAGATAACCTGTAAAGGAAAACCAATCAGGCTGACATCAGACCTCCCTGAAGAAATACTATAGGCAAAAAGAGAATGTAGTAACATATTCAACAAGCTCCAAAACAGCAAATGCCAACCAAGAATACTTTACCCTGCAAAGCTACCCTTCCTCAGAAGGAGAATTTCTCAGACAAACAGAAACTCCAGAAATTCATTATGATTAAACCCACACTGCAAAAATTCTAAAAAATTCCTAAAACCAAAACTAACAGAGGAATGAATAAGAAGAACAGAATAAGGTAAGGAATAAAATCACAAAAATACAAACAAAATGGCAAATACAGATGCCAACGTATCAATATTAACCCTAAATATAAATGAACTAAACTCATCAATGAAAAGACAGAGTAGTAGGCTGGATTGAAAAACAAATTCCAACCTTCTGCTGTCTCCAGGAAACACATTTAACTACAAAAAATAAATATTGACTGAAAGTAAAAGGTTGGAAAACAATCCAACAGGCAAATGGACCAAAAAAGAAGGCAGGAACAGCTATACTTACATCAGATGAAATGGACTTCAAACTAAAAAAAGTAAAAAGAGACATAGATGGACACTACATTATGATCAAGGGGACACTACATCAGAAAGATATAACACTCATCAACATATACTCACCAAATGAAGGAGCACCAAAATATATCAGCTCTGAAATCAGACATCAGAGAAAATACACATGTAGTAGGAGACTTCAACACACCACACTCAACAACCGACAGATCAATGAGACGAAAAATAAACAAAGACACAAGAGCCCTATTTAAAGACATAGAATGCATGGGCTTAACAGACATCTATAGGGCACTGCACCCAAAAAAGTCTGAGTACACATTTTTCTCAAGTGCAAAACATTCTCCAGAATCAATCACAAACTGGGCCACAAGACAAACATTAACAGATACATGTAGATCAAAATCATTCCAACTATCTTCTCTGATCATAAAGGCATCAAACTAGAAATAAATCATAAAAAGAAAGCAAGAAAACCTCCCAATTCATGGAGATTGAAATCCACACTACTGGAAGACCATTGGACTAAAGAGGAGATCAAAGAAGAAATTAAAAAAATACTTTGAGTTGAACAACAATGAACAACAACAATGACACCATTTCCAGAATGTATGCTATGCAGCAAAAACAGTACTAAAAGGAAAATATATAGCAATAGAGGAGACTCACATCAAGAAACAAGAAAGGGGGCCTCCCCTGGTGGCGCAGCGGTTGAGAGCTGGGCTGTGAAGCTGCCTGCAGCCTCTGCAGCACCAGTTCGATCCCCGGCCACTGGCAAGGGTCCCACATGGTGCGCAGACCTCTCCTGCCATGCCCGCTGCTCCTCTCAGCAGTGTATTTCGTCGGTCTGCCTGTTCTGTTCCCCGCTCTGGCTCTGGTGAATTCTCTCACCCTCCCATGCTTCTGACTGTACCCAGTGCTTGTATGAATAAATAAATAAATCTTAAAAAAAAAAGAAACAGAAACAAGAAAGGACTCAAAGAAACAACCTAATCTCCCATCTCAAAGAACTAGAAAAAGAACAATTAAAAAGCCCTAAAACCAGTAGAAGGAAAATAACAAATATCAAAGCAGTAAGAAATGAAATAGATATTAAAAAAACAATCCAAAAGATTAATGAAACCAAAAGTTGGTTCTTTGAAAAAATATACAAAATAGACAAACTTCTAACCAGGCTCACAAAGAAAAAAATGGGAGAAACACATATAAATAGGATCATAAATGAAAGAGGAGAAATTACCACAAACTCAGTTGAAATCAAATGAATAATCAGCGATTACTATGAACATTTATATGCAAACAAGTTCAGCAATGTAGAACAGATGGATAAATTCCTAGAACTATACAATCATACAAAGCTAGATAAAGAAGAAATAGAACACCTGAACATACCAATTACAAGCAGTGAAATTGAAACAGTAATGAAAATGAAAATGAAAATGGTAATGGTAATGAAAATTACCCCCAAAACAAAAGCTCAGGAACAGATGTCTTCACAAATGAATTCTACCAATCATTCAGAAATGAATTAGTGCCTATCCTAGACACACTTTTTTCAAAAATTGAAAAAGGAATACTACCAAATACATTCTATGAACCCAACATTACACTAATACCAAAACCAAACAAAGCCAACACACAAAAAAGAAAATTGCAGGTCAATCTGCCTAATGAATACAGATGCAAAAATCCTCAACAAAACCCTTGCCAACAGAATCCAACAATGCATCAAAGGGATAATACCCTTTGATGATAATACCATGATCAAGTGAGATTTATTCCAGGGGCACAAGGATTGTTCAACATCCCAAAATCAATTAATGTAATCCAACACAACAACAAAAAGAAAAAATAAAAACCATATGATCATATCAATAGATGCAGAGAAAGCATTCGACAAAGTTCAACATCCATTTATGATGAAGGACCTTGAAATTCTCAGGATAGAAGGAACATAACCTTAACATAATAAAGGCCATATACAACAAACTCATAGCCAATATCATCCTCAATGATGAAAAGCTGAAAGACTTTGCCGTAAGATGAGGAACAAGACAAGGATGTCCACTCTCACCACTGCTTTTCAATATAATACTGGAAGTCCTAGTCAGAGCAGTAAGACAAGAGTAAGACACACAAGGAATCCAAATAGGGAAAGAAGTAAAACTATCACTATTTGCAGACAATATAATATACATAGAAAACCCTAAAAACTCCACAGAAAAACAAATCAAAATAATCTACCAATTTAGTAAAGTAGCAGAATACAAAATCAACACACAAAAATCAGTAGCTTCCTATACACAATCTGAAGTCAAGAAAACAATTCCTTTTACAATTGAAACAAAAAAATCAAATACATGCACACAGACCAGTGGAGTTGATTAGAAATCCTGGAAATAACCTCACACATATATGGATAACTAATCTTCAACAAAGGAGCAAAGAATATGCAATGGAACATGGGCAGTTTGTTCAATAAATGGTGCTGGGAAAACTGGACCAACATAAGGAAAAGAGTGAATCTAGACCACTATCTCATACTATGCACAAAAATCAACTCAAAATGGATAAAATATCTGAACATAAGACCTGAAACCATAAAATATACAGAAGAAAATATAGGTAAAATACTACAAGACATACATCTCAGAAGAATCTTTAAAGACTCATCACCCAAAGCAATGAAAGTGAAGGAAAAGATAAACAGCTGGGATTACATCAAACTGAAAAGCTTCTGTACAGCAAGAGACATTAATCAAAAAAAAAAAAGAGACACCCTACTAATTGGAAAAAAATTCTTGCACTTCATACAACTGATAAGGGAATGATCAGAAAGACATATTTAAGAACTCACATGACTCAACAAAAACAAAGTAAACAATCCAGTCAAGAAATGGGCAGGACCTCCCCGGTGGCGCAGTGGTTGAGCGCTGGGCTGCAAAGCTGCCTGCAGCCTCTGCAGCGCCAGTTCGACCCTTGCGAGGGTCCCAAATGGCTCGCAGACCTCGCCTACCCCGCCCACTGCTCCCCTCAGCAGTGTACTTCATCAGTCTGCCTGTTCTGTTCCCTGCTCTAGCTCTGGTGAATTCTCTCACCCTCCCGTGCTTCTGACTGTACCCAGTGTTTCTATAAATAAATAAATAAATCTTTAAAAAAAAAAAAAGGGAAAAAGAAATGGGCAGAATAACTTAAAAGTCACTTCCCTAAAGAGGAAATACAAATGGCCAACAGGCATATGAAAAAATGTTCAACATCCCTCATAATCAGGGAAATGAAATCAAAACCATAATGAGATACCACCTTACACCATAACAATGGCACATATCAAAATAACTAGCAACAACAAATGTTGGCAAGGATGTGGTGAAAAAGGAACTCTCCTACATTGCTGGTGGGAGTGCAAACTGGTCCAACCACTATGGAAAGCTGTATGGAGGTTCCTCAGCCAACTGAAAATGAAGCTACCATATTATCTAGCAGTTCCACTCCTAGGGCTCTACCCAAAGGACACAAAAACATAGTTGGGATATCTAAAGAGGAAGCCTTAGAAACTTTGCAAATTATAAGAAGAGAATGTCTCACAAATAAAACAAGCTATGTTGGTACAGCTGAGTCAGGCAAGAAGTTGTACAGCAACTTCTTGAGCAAGAGCATACCCAGAACTTCATAACTACCTCCTGTTCAGCTCTAGATAATATTATTGGGGGTGGAATACCCTTAATATTCTTGGGGGTGGAATACCCTTAACCAAATCAACAGAAATTTGTAGTGCACCAGGTGTTGGAAAAGCACAATTATGTATGCAGTTGGCAGTAGATGTACACATACTAGAATGTTTTGGAGGACTGGAAGGCAAAGTGGTTTTTACTGATACAGAGTGAAGTTTTATGGTTGAGAGAGTGGTAGACCTTGCTACTGCCTACAGGAACTCATAATGGAGAGGAGTACTCAAAAGCTTTGAAGGATTTCACTCTTGAAAATATTCTTTCCCATATTTATTATTTTCATTGTCTTGACTACACAGAGCTACTGGCACATGTTTACCTCCTTCCAGACTTCCTTTCAGAACGTTCAAAAGTTCGAATAGTGATAGTGGATGAAAAGCATTGCTTTTCCTTTTCGTCATGACCTAGATAACCAATCTCTTCATGCTCGATTACTAAATGGCTTAGCCCAGCAAACAATCAGCCTCACAAATCATCACAGATTAGCTGTAATGTTAACCAATCAGATGACAACAAAGACTTATAGAAATCAGGCCTTGCTGGTTCCTGCATTGGGGGAAAGTTGGGGACATGCTGCTACAATACCGTTAATCTTTCATTGGGACCAAAAACAAAGGTTGGCGACATTGTACAAATCATCAAGTCAGAAGGAATCTACAATACTGTTTCAAATCACACCTCAGGGATTTAGAGATGCTGTTGTTGGTACGTCTCATTCATTGAAAACACAAGGTTTGTTGAATTCCTGGAAGCGGTCACAACACTCAGAAGAACAAGAACCCAAAGACTAGTGTCAAAGCACACATATGTGATGAGACTGTGGAAATAAGTAGTTGAAGGAACCTAGTGAATACAGCCTAAAAGAGTAAAACACTCAACAACACAGAGCAAAGCAAAGAAGAAATGGACACCATGGCAAAAAGGATGAGGACTGACATAGTGATCAATTCTTTTTGACTTTTAAAATCAACTTTATTGAGGTATAACTTACATACTTATTTAAAGTATACACAGATAATTTTTGACTAATGAATACACCTCTATAACCAGTCAAGCTATAGAACATTTTAATCACCCCACAAAATTCCCTCTTGCTCCTTTGCCATGAACCTCCACCCTGCCTCTGTCCTTGGTAACCACTAATTTCTTTTTGTAACAGTCTTGTCTGCAGTAGAATTTTATAGAAATAGAATTATATAGTATATTTTTCATGTCTAATTTTTTTCCTCTAAGCATGTTTTTGAGATTCATCCTTGTTATTTTATCAGTAGTTCATTTCTTCTTATTGCTGAGAAGTATTCCATTGTATGAATATACCACGATTTGTTTATGCATTCACTAATTGATGGACATCTGGATTATTTTCAAGTTTGAGCTATTATGAATAAACTACTGCAAAAAAAATAAAGTGAACAATGTTGTAAAATATATATAATTAAAAACACTTTAAAGAATTTATGCCTGTTTTATTCAAAGTATTCCAAAAATCCAAGAAGAGGAACACATGTTAACACATTCTATGATGCCAACATTATCCTAATACCAAAACAAGACAAAGACAGGACAAAAAAAGGAAACAGTATTTCTAATAAACACTGATGCAATAATTCTCAATAAACTACTACCAAACCAAATACAACAATACATTAACAAGATCATATACCATGAGCAAGTGGAATTTATTCCAGGGATGCAAGGATGGTTCAATATATGCACAATAATAAACTGTAATATACTAAGTCAAAAGAAAGGATAAAAACCATATTACAATATCAACAGATGCAGAGAAAGTACTTGATAATACACCATCAATTTGTGATAAAAATTCTTAACAATATAAGGAACCTACCTCAACATAATAAAGGCCATATATCATAAATCCACAGCTAAAAGTATACTAAAGTAAAAAAGGGAAAGCATTCTTGTTAAGATCGGGAACAAGGCCAGGATACCCACTGTTACCACTTGTCTTTAATCTAGTATTAGAGGTTTTAAGAGTAATCAGATAGCAACAAGAAATAAAAAGAATGCAGATGATATATTACATATAGAAGACCTTAAAGACACTACCAAAAATTTACTATGAATAATAAATGAATATAGTAAAGTGGCAGGTTAGAAATTAAAATACAAAACATTATCTTGTTATTTTTGTGATGTGTGTGTATTTTTGCTTTACATACAGCTAAGAAGAAAAAGCAATTAAGAATTCCATTTACAATGGCATCAAATAGCATTAAATACCTGGGAATTAACCTAACTAAAGGGATGAATGATTAATACAGTGAAAACTATAATGCACTATTAAAAGATATGTAACAAGACATAAAGAAATGGAGAAATCCCACAAATGGGGACAATCAACATAGTTAACATCACTTTTGGTAAAATAGTCAAAAGTGATATATAGATAGATTCAATGTAATTCCCATTAAAATACCAATGACATTCTTCAAGAGGGTGGAACAAACAATACCAAAAGTAAATGGACCCATAAAAGACTCTAACCAAAGCAATCCAGAGGGAAAAAAGGAAAATTGAGGCATCATGTTACTTGATTTTAAACTATATTATAAAGCAGTAGTAATTTAAAAAGAGACATGAATAAATGGAAAACAACCAAAATCCCACAAACAAATCCACACATACATAAATACCTAATTTATGATTAAGAAACCACAGTGGAGAAAGTCTCTTTAACAAATGGTGTTTGGAAAACTGGATTGCCACCTGTAAAAGAATTATATTGGATCACTTTCCAACTCCATGCATAAATAATTTCAATGTTGATTAAAGACATATAAGACCCACATCAATACACTATACAGAAGAAAGCACTGGTGATGTTTCACGACATCAATGACAGAGGTGTCTTTGGAAACTCCTGCAAATTAAAAAGCTTTACACAATGAAGGAAAATTTAAGTAGATTAAGCAGACATTCTGCTGAGTGGAAGAAGGCATTCACACATCACACAACCAATAGCGGTTGCTAGCCAAGGTATACAAAGAACTCATCCAACTTAACAAAAAACCATGTAACCCAATTAAAAAATGTGCAGATCTGAAAAGATAACTTACCAAAGAGGTCAACAGATAACATGAACAAATGCACATGACTACTTCTAATAAGGGAGATGCAAGTCAAAAACCACAATGAGATGTCATCTCATATCTGTTAGATTGGTATACATTAAAAAGACCTCCAATAACAAGTGCTGAAAAGGATATGGAGCAAAAGGAAACCTAATAAATTACTGGTAGAAATGTAAACTGGTACAGCCATTCTGGAAAGTGGTTTGGACCTACCTTTAAAAACTAAAAATGGATATACAGTATGATCCAACATTTGGAAGCAATTTAATAATAATTAAATTGCCCATTAATAAGAGGATCAGATTAAGAGAATATGGTATAGTCACCCAGCGGAATACTATTTAGCATAAAGAAAGATGAAATGTTACCATTTACAGCAAAATAGAAGGAATCTGAAGAGATTATGTATAGCAAAGCAAGCCAGAATGACAAATATTGAACGATTTCACATACAAATATAATAAAGAATCAAAACAGATGAACTGATAAAGCAAAGTAATCATAAACTAGTGGATATGAATAATGGAAGTAAGGTTTCTAAGATTAAAAAGGAGGAGGGGAAGAAAGGATTAAAGGAATAGGTAATGTGAGAAAAAAAAGAAAGGTGTGAAACTCTGAGATAGATTCATGAATTTAAGGTAGGCTAGTTGGGATTACATGAGTGGTAGAGATGTTTTTTTTTTTTGGATTGGGTGTGGGGTTATATGTGTTTGTTAGGAGGGAAACACCAAGACTCTCTTTGTATCTTTTCCTGACATTTCATGGAGAGCCAGAGTCCTTCCAGTAGGCCAAGTCAACAGAATGAGGCCTAAAATTTAAAGCCAAACATCTTATAAAAATTGTTCAGATACTGACACTGCACACCAGAGCTCATCTGAACACTTTACAGGGCTGGACTCCAGAAGGTCTATTTAGTAATGTAGGAGAAGCTCCAAGTGTCTTATCTGTGAATGGCACCATGTTGGTTTTTTTCCAGAAATCTCTATCTATTGTCCTTGCAACAAACCCCTGGCTTGCTCACTAGCTGGAAGAGAAATGATACAGGTATTTCAAACAATAAGGAAGTTATTTTAACTTTTGCTGATTTCATGGCCAAGCACTAAAGCACTAGTTTTGGCATTGAGACCTTACTTCTACTCCCAATTTTAAACTTACCTCTTGTACTTTGGCATAAAGCAATTGCTGTACCTTTCAATTTATCATATAACTGAATCTGATTAAAATGAGAGACATCTAGGAAAAAAAAAGTCCACCCAAGTAAAGTTTAGCAGGAAACTAACTATGCCCTTCCTTTGATGATTTTTATTGGTTCACTTTGTCCTTATATTCAACTGAAAATAGGCTCCTAAATCTTTAACAACACTTCTGAATTGAGACAAGTATATCCCCCCCCATTTGCAAAAATGAGTCCAGAAATGGGAGAAGAAATTAAAACTTCACACAACCAAAATTATTTCACAGGTTTTTTTTTTTTACTAAAAGAATAGAGTTTTATTAAGTGCTGTAAGTTTCTTTCCATCAGCATTAACAACAGACCAATTTCCATCACAGAACAACTCCAGAGACATTCTCATTCCTTTCCAAAGCACTTCCATTAAATCCCACAGTTTCCCCTAGGAAGCATCCATTCAAACTTACATTAATAAACTATGGAGCTTTTATAGTGAGGTGGGCCAAAAAGGCAGGGAATTTGCAATCTGGGAGTGAGAAAGAGAAATACATATCCACTAAACACACTGTCAAGAGCACAGAGTAGTTAACACAGGAAAAAACAATGACAGACTTTCCTTTGTCAATTAACATCATTTATCAGTGAGCACTAAAAACCATTAACTCCTTGCAGTTAAAGTTTCTTTACCTATATGTTACTCTAAAAATAGAAGGGAATACAATAAAAGATGTGGGGGGAAATGTCTTTTGGGAAATAACTAAAATTGTACCATCAGATTTGGCAGGGTTATGAGAGATTAATAAAATGTGAAATATTTGCTTCATTTATACGAACATTCACTAGTCATTAGTTACTACCAACACAGACAAAAAGAGTATCTATAAAAGTACAAGGGCAATATCAAAAGTTGAAATGGGGGCCCTAGTACAGGGGATATTTTATTTTGCTTTTCACTTGGACAAGATCATTTTGTAAAAAATGAAGTTATCTTCTTAGAACATCAAAAAATCCTCTGGCAATATTGAAAATAATTAGCAGTAATAGGGGAATAGGTACACTGAGATCTCTCTACCTACACCAGAAGACTACTGCAATAAAGCCAAGGGAAAAGAAAATGGGGAATCAAATAAAAGGAGATGCCAAAGTCACAAAAGGGAGAAAAACATAAGGTGACACACGATGGGAACAATGAAAATGTACCACCCCCCCCCAAATTCCTCCCAGCATATTTAGGAAATATGCACCAGGAAGTGAACAAGTATGATGATTCAACCTTAGTACAATTATACTAACTACTTTAAACTGTGGTCTACTTGTATTTTCATTTCAAGAGAGGGGTATGGGGGGGTTATAGGAGGCTGAAAGGGTAGCACTGATGTGCCCACAAGAGCCTCCTAAGGTTCCAAAGGACTGAATCACTATGATCAAACAGTAAATTCCACATTCTTTCTATACTACATAAGCACTCCTCCCCCCACCCTCTCCCCTACTTTATCCACCCTCCTTAATGCCTTGTCTGGCTATTTTTCTGAATGTTCAAAAAATGTTAAAGTGAGTTGGCCAACAATGCCAGAAAATAAGGATGGAGACAAAAATCAAAAGTCACTAGCCAAAACAAGTGTCACTTCTTGGGCTTTAAAGTCTACCCAGCATACTGCTGGCTCAGAATGAAAATGATGCAAGTGAATGGAAGTTTATCAGGCCTGTTCCAGACCAGGCTGGCCACTGAATGAGGGTGGGAGTTATAGGCTGTCCCCAAGATACACTAGCAGAAATCAAGAACTACAAGTCTTTAGGGATCAGTGTTTACATACAGGGTGCTTTTGCTTGTGGTCCTATAAGGAAAGGGGTCATATCTAGGGATTCCTATGTGACTTTGTTCAAGATCACTTTGTCAGAAATGGAACCTCAAGTGAAGGATGGCCGTCTCTTGAAGTCACAACAAAGATCAGATCCACCTTTCCCAAGTTGGCTTTCAAATTGAGTGTTTGGCAAATAAATCAATTATAAGAACATGGCCCTTTATGGCTCTTTCTTGAAACCTTCCAAACCCAAAATCCATATAAAAATCAAGGTTGGAAGTAGGCTACCAGTTTTACCCTGGGCCAAGCTAGGAGAGTGAAGATGTGTTTGAGAAAAGCAAGCCTTTTGGCAAACTGGAAACATTCCTGTCAAAGCAGCAATTTACTTCTCACAGTGAATGCCTACAAAATAAGAAATCTTAATGCTGCAAGAGTTAACAATACCGTCATTTAATTGTGTCAGAGATTCAAGATGCACAGAAATAGCAACTAAAGAAAATAACTTTCCATAGAAGTCCAAATACTTCCTGTCAGAAAATGGAGACTACACACACACACACACACACACACACACATGCATGCACGCACGCATGCACATACACACACACGTGTGTGTTTATACACACATATACATATATATTTACTTTAACACAGCTCAGTGATTCTGGCTACTCTTAGAGCTCCAAAGGATTCCTCCCTCTGACTCCAGAAAGAAATTTCCAAGCAATCTAAGTTCACTACTAAATCTCTGGCTGGATATAGAAGTCCTAACCTTTAAGATGTTGTGAAAGGTGGGAAGGTCCAAGAAGGGGGCCAAAATTAGGGGAGCCGATTCCAAAGAGGAGGTTTTCAATACACTCTGTTCCTGGTTTTATCTGGTGAGGTATGCACTCTTGTTATACTGCTTTGGTGTATAAAAGAAGTGTCTGGGCAGGGGAGGGGCATTCTAGGGCTCCCTCCGCTTGCAAATTGTGGGTCAACTTAAACTTGATCAGAAAAGGATTAAACAGCTTGAGACTGTTTTTGGTCTTTCATGATATAATTAGTGTAAGTGAGAAAACAGCCTTCTGGTTGTCTGGGAAAAAAAATCACCAAGGACCTGCTGTGGGTTAAGATGCATGGGTTTTTCAAAAGAAGAGAAAACCCCACTAGTAGTCGAGTCAGTTGTATTCCTTTAGAAATGACACTCCTTGAGCAAGAATATCACAAAGCCCAAAGTTAGGTATGTGAGACTGGAAGCCTCAATTCTGAGTTAAGACACAATGCTAATCTGTTGTAAGACATGTTCCCAACCCTCATACTTAAGGTGCTGAAGAGGGAAACTAGAAATGCAAGGTTGTTTTAAGTGTATCTCCAGTAAGTAATAACAGCATTTTTGTCCTGGGCAGATTCTGGCCTCAGTGAGGACTTGGACCCATTTACAGAATACCCTCAAAGGCCTGGGCCAGAGTCCTCTGAAGTCTTCCTTGCAAAGCAAATGAAAAGATCCAGTAGACAAAATGTCAATGAACAAATGAAAACAATCTAGGAATGTAAAATCAAATTGTTGATTTCCTCACACTTCCCTACACCAATGCTAGTCCTCTCTTCTTCTGGGATTTATGGCAATCAGTTCTAGCCTGAGGCCAGTTTGATCCTGGAGTTTAGATGAAATTTTTTCCAAATTGGCTGTAAGCCCTGGTTATCACCTGCCAGTTCCTTTCTTTCTTCAAACCAGGCTGCTCCTTCATAAGGAAATGCCCAATTCTCTCCAATCCCATTCCAACCTCCAACCTGTTTTTACCAGTTGGGATATTAGGGTCTGTTCAAGATTAAGCTTGTGACAACACAACTGTTGTTCTGAATAGGCAATCTCTGGAAAGTACTATTTGTCTGCTTTAGAAAAGCCCATCTTCTCATAATTGTGATGAGCTGTGACTTAGTAAGAATCTTCAAGTGTGGTCATTTGAAACCTACCACTCCATAGCAGTGGAAGCTTTTCTAGGAAACTCAGTAAATCCTCTGGGAAATCAGCATGTATGTATGCATGTATGTATGTATACACACACACATATATTTATATATATAAAATATGTATAGATAAATAGATCTGTCTCTATATAAAGGGTATGCATAAGCATATAGATACACACTTTTCCATACATATCCATCCACACAGTCATACACACACACACACACACACACACACACACACACACCCGAGTCTTTTGAGTTTCCTTTCATACTCAGTCTCATTACATTGATTCCCACCCTTTGATTCCAACCCATAGTGTGGGGAGCAGGGAGTGGGTGGACTGCACCACATCTTCTATTTCACAAACATGCTTTAGTTTAGAGGCAGGAAAATCTGCCCAGTACTTTTCCGACTCACTTGAATCCCCCAATACAAAGGCCATTGGTAGTTTTTATGTGTGTGTGTTTTTTAAGTATATAAAATAAAATAAAAAATAAAAATAACCAACACTACCTCACTTCTCTGAAAACATCTACCTATCTGATTGTCAGGCCAGAGCTAGAGGTGGTGATACAAAATCCTGGGGTAGGTGAGTTGGAAGAAAAAGTGAAAAGGTGGTGGATAATGACTATATGTCAAGACTCTACCATTTCATGAGAAAAAAGAAGTCAGCAGCTATAAACAGTTGTTCCCACCATCCCAAGGGTTTTATAAATGAATATCATGAGAAAGACTCAGAAAACCAATCTAGAACTTTCTATAGGGCCCTATGTGATGACACCCTATTTCTAACAGTCACTGCCTTACTAGACTTCCAGGGGAGGTAAAGAGAATATTGGCAATATATATTCAATTTAAGAATAGGAGCTAGTCCTGTTGCCATTCATCTTTGACCAGTGCTTCCCTAGAAGCAAACCTCTAAGTCTAGAGGCCCAGAAAAAGACAAGGAAGGGTAAAAGAAAGATACAATGGAATATCCCATTGGATAAATCTTGGGTAAGCATTTTTGTCCTCTAACTTGGGCCTAGAATCAGAAAAGTATAGGTTTTCCTTTCTTCCTGATGTATTGAAGCCATCTTCTGCTCGTTATTCCTCTTTCTGTTGTGCCACTGTTCCTATCTTTTGCTCTTGTAAGCGGCTCTTTTCCCCATTCTTCATTGGGAAGTAGCGGTTACCATTATTACATATGTTGTTGTCTCTGGATAAGGCACACTGTGATGAAGCTGGAAGATGGTGATCACTCTTCTCTTCCTTGATCAATGTGCCATTGTTTCCATTTACCTGTGAGCAGGACCAGCCTTGATGAGGCTCCAGGGATTTAGAAACTCCATCTGAAATACCCTGTCAAAAACCAAGATATTCAATGGAAATGGTAATCCCAACTGTCTGACCTTTCCAAGGATAGTTGTAAGTTAGCCTGTAGAAGCAGCTTCTGGTCTTTGAAACCAACAGAAAGCCCAAAGCCTGTTAATGCCTACTACATTCTGATACTATTCTGAGAACTTAGGATGACAACAGATGGATCTGATTGAAATCCAGTGGCAATGATCAACAATACAGTAAGACACAGCTAACATTTACAAAGTTTTACAATGTATTTTTCTAATACTAATAGGGACCCTAAGAGGGTAGACATTTTATGATGCCCTATTTACTGATGAGGAAGATGAGGCTTAGAAAGATTAAAATAACTTGTTCAAGGACATCCAGATAGAAAGTAATGGGGCCAGATTTCCACTCTAGGACGGTTAGCCTTTAAAATCTATTCTCTTAACTGCCATGTAATGGTGTGCAATGATGACAACTGGACATTTAAATGAAAGGAAAAGAAACCATAAGGTCTATGTCCAATATTCCATAGACTCTTTCATAATTAAAGTCACTTGTTTTTCTTTTAATTCCAGAATGTGACTACTATTGAAATACTAATGGCATGAACTGCATTACTTTGTGATGTAGTACTGACTCTCAACGAGAGGCTCAAAAAAGTAAAATTACTTGTCCAAAGTCATTGGCATGCCTAAACTTGCATCCAAGTCTGTTTGACTCCAAAGATCTTGTTCTTTCTACTAAGTGTAATACGTAACTGAGACCTAATACCTGTTGAAACTGTGGTCAATCATAAATAATATCTACTTTTTATTGAGCACTTCCCATGTTCCAGGGTCCTTGTTAAACACTTCACATATATTATCTCATTTAACAGTCAAACTAACCCTGATGTAGGTAGCAATTTCTCCATTTAGCAGGAAACTAGGGCACAGAGAGGGTAAGTAACTTGTCCAAGGCTACAGAACTAGTAAGTGGCAGAGCCCAATTCAAAGCCAGATCATGTAGCTCTTAACCCTGTACAACATGGAGCCTACTGTGAAGTATTGCTCAAGAACCTGGAAATGAGGTGAAACTAGTAAACATCCACACACTTATGGAATTAGCCACCTGAGGAAGTTAACAAAGAAAAAAAATTATAAACATATGACTTAAGAATTTAGGAACATACAAAACTCCATTGACCTTGGAATAATCTCAAGAAGACAGAACAATAATGTAAGCAGGTTTAATGAGATGGAATGATTATCTCTAGCTTTGAGGAAACTGGAGATAACTGGGGTGACTGAACAATGAAAAGACAATCAGCAAGGCTATCATCAGCAACTCCATTCAGGATTAACTAAAAGAAGAAGGATTAGCTAAACATGAAGTCAACATGAGAATTTGCTTGGCCAGGTAACCTCTCTAGAGTGAATATCAATGCCCCCAGCAATCTTAGTGAAGAGAAATGTAATATGACCTATCATCCCATGTTTTCTCCCAGTTTCCTCACCTGTAAACTAGAGAATAATTCGATTTCATAGCTTCCTGTGAGGATTCAGTGAGACACAATGTAAAGCGCGTAGGACATGTTATACCTGGCACACAGGAACAACTCAAAAAATACCTGGGGACATGAATTTATGTCTCCAAGTAAATTTCTGGTATGGTAGTCTCTCCTGAAGCTTATTGTTGGAGATAGAGACCTCTTTTAGAAATGGATAAGAGCATGTATACTAAAATCAGTCAGACCTAGGTCTGAAGTTTGTCTAACAATTATACATAAGGCTTTGGATTCAATCAGCTAAGACAGGAATGTTAATTAAGATGTTAATTTGATGGATAAATTTGGGCAAGATGCTTCATCCATCTGAGCCACAGTTTAGTCCTGTTTAAAATGGGAAATAATAAATACCTCACATGAATTTATAACTGTGACTAGGAAGAAGTGTACAATATATTGTGATAATTATTTCTTCTCACCATAAATGAGTACTTTATCTTTCACTTCCTTCCTTCTCTTTCCCCACCTCCCTCAGCTATTTCTGTGATCTTGGTTAATTTGAGTCAATTACTGAGTGATGGATCCACTCTTACTGTACCAAAAAGATCAGGTTTCTCAGATTGCTTAATGGTCAGACCCTGAATCATGATGAATTCTCCAAGGGTGTACTACCTTATGGGTACCTATTTGAGTTACCAGTTTTCCTTCTAAATGTAAGCACCTTTACCTCACTGAGAAGTTTCTGGAAACAGCTAAGAAGTTTTGGGAAAATTCCAAAGTCATTGCTCTTTGCCTTTGGAGTATATTATAAACACTTTATGTGGGGGACTTACCTATTCTTGTTCCATTTTTGGTTCAAAATAACATTAAAGGAAATCTGCATTCTTTGACAAAACATTAGACAGTGGAGGTTAACAGATGCAGGAAAGCTGATTTGGAATTGAGAACTAATAACACAGCTGCCCTGCAGTGTGGTGCAGTCAGTGACCTTTGTGAGGGTAAAAGATTACATATAAAATGTCTCATACAGAGTTGGTAGAAAGTGGGTACTCAAGAAATGGTAGTTTTTATATTACGAGGAACCTAAAATTGACTAAAATGTTGGATGACAACAGAAACAGGCTATCATATTTGGAGGTATAGGATGTGTGTAATGACCAGGAGAATTGTGATATAATCCAAGGTACAGATTAGAAGAAAGTTTAAGACCAATTTGAGCCATTAAGAATATGCAGAATGGCAATATTTCTATCCCCCCCCATATTAAGGAAAGGCAAAAATCTAATTTTCTAAGCATCTCTGGTAGCTCCCCAGAAGCTGTGGCTGGAAATCTCACTGTTAACCTCATTTTGGCCTCTTTACAGCTTCATGTAGCATATACTATGCTACGTATAGTCTTTTCTTTTTAAAGATTTATTTATTTATGCATACAAGAACTGGGGTACAGGCAGAGGTGGGGGGGTGAGAGGATTCACCAGAGTGGAGAGTAGAACAGGCAGATCTACTGAAATACACTGCTGAGGGGAGCAGCAGGTGAGACAGGAAAGGTTTGCTGTGCCATGTGGGTCACCTCACTGGCTGGGAATTGAACTCGTGCTGCAGTGGCTGCAGATTGCTTCATAGTGCTGCATCTTAACTCCTTGCGCCACCAGGGAGGCCCTGCTATGTATAGTTTTAAGAACATAGTCTTTGTTATCTATCTTGTGGCTTCATTCAGGGAAAACAATAATACTCTACAGCCCTGTGGGAGCAGCCTGGGCAGGCTAACATCTAACAGACCATTAGAGAGCAGGGAATGAAATCAAATGCTGGGAGAAGCTATGAAAGCTTCCCTAAACAGTTCAAGTTTCCATGCATGATCAGATCTCTTGAAATTTAGCTGAAAAGACAAGAGGTATCAAATAGAAGCTAGATAATCTCAAAGAGGTGCTTACTTGTTTATTTCCTTTCTTATGTCCTTTGGATCCTCTACCAGTCTGTTCTTTTCCATGCCTTAGAAAGTGGGGGAAAAAGTGATGATGAGGAACACATAAAGCTTTTGCCCCTGTTTTTCACTAACTGTTCACCTCCTCTTAGAAGTTTGACTCTCTTAAGTTGGATGCCCCTCCCCTGTACTACCCCTGTAAGCCTCTATCTTATTCCATAGCATTTCTATAGCATACTGAATTGTTTTGTATCGCATGCCTTCTTCTACAGCAAAAACATTCTCATTGAGACAGAGCATTTAGTATATGTTTGCTTAATTAAAGTGAAAACTAGCTTTAAATGTGCAAAGTTCATTAATGCCGCTTACCTTAATAGAAAGATTCAATAGCTGGATTTCCCCAAGGGCACCTTGATTGACACTAGCTCATACCAACCTATTCAAATACATACCCCTTTCCTGGCCCACCGACAGAAACCACTTGCATGCCAAAGGATCCTCGGCCCCTGGAAGATCTGCTGCCAGCCCACTGGCCTACAACCATTCCAGCAATCTCCAGCTTTCCTCCTTGGGGTGGGATTGGGTGGAAACCTGGAAAGATAGGAAGAATGGCAGGAATGAATGACAAGTGCAAGGTATAAGAGGTGGAATGAAAGATACTATAGTCCACCTACTGACTTATTTCCATTTCTCTATGTATGATAAAAAGACTGTGATGGCAACAAAGAGTCAATGTGGAAGCAAATTTAGGTGGGGGTGGGGGTGAAAACTTGTACAGATTGACTTTAACAGGTGAGTTGTGGATGATTTATTTTCCAACTACAGAGCTTGTCACATAGTAGGCATTTACTATTTGTTGAGAGAACAAGTGTCTTAAAATCTAGTTATTGGAAAATTAGAGGTCAAAACTATATTTGATTCAAATACACAATGGAAGATTAGTTAACCAAACTAAGCTCAAAATAATGAAACTAAACTAAAAGTAGTTTATAATTAAAAGGTAAGAACAGCAACAGTTAAAAACCAGCACCAATTCAAGATGAGATAGCTCCTTAAAACAGGATATTGCGGGCCTCCCCGGTGGCGCAGAGGGTTGAGCACCTCACTGTGGAGCTGTCTGCAGCCTCTGCAGTGCTGGTTCGATCCCCGCTGGCTGGTGAGAATCCCACATGGTGTGGCAGACCTCTCCTGTAGCACCCACTGCTCCCTTCAGTAGTGTATTAATGTCATCTGCCTGTTCTGCCCCCTGCTCTGTCTCTTGTGAATCCTCTCACCCTCCTGTGCCTCTGGCCTGTACCCCAGCTCTTGTATAAAAAAATAATAAAAAAATCAGGATATTGCAATTATGTGTTGCGTTTGTGAGCTTGTGATTTGGCACAAAAAAAAAAAAAAACGCTTCACAGAATACACAGTAAAACTCTGATTTTAGTTTATGGAAAAAACTCAATGTGCATAACCCTTTAGTCGTTAAGTAGGTTGTTGGTAAAGAGCTCTTCATTTATATAAGAGTCTAAGGAACTATGGTATTAGCATTTCCTAAGAGGACAAGAAAAACTTGCATTTGGGAATCTGATTGTGACTTTTCAAGAGGCAGGAGGCTCCTCATAAACTTTTAGTAACTGGAGACTAAGTGTCACTTGGAGTAGGGGCAATGTTGAGGCACTCCTGAGAATGTGGCCTTAATTAAGGCTGTTTTCTGACACAATAAAATCAACAGGCAAAAAATGAGAGAAGTTATCTGTAAAGTCAACTTCAATGAATGGGATGAATGGCTGACTCCCTGGTTTATAACACTTGATCAATACCTGACTGAACAGTGGGTTGCCAGAGCCCATGCTCACACTGCTCATCTAAGCACAGGCTTGGGCTAAAGATCCATACTGAGTTTTGTGACCCTGAAAGACAAACTTCAACTTCCAGCTTTATTATTTTTAAAGTATGAGCAATAAACAATAAACACCTTCAGCCATAGTAATGACACTCTCACCTAATTCCAGAATCTTGAAATTCTATGTCAAAATGTCTCTGTTAAAATATCTTGTTTTACCAGGGAACAGGTCATTTGAATGATCAGGATCAGTATCTTAGCTATCTAAACATGACTGTTTATTCACCATTAAGCCACAGCTCAGGTATCACCATTAATGCAGAGCCTGCAAGTGTGAATGTGTGTGTGTGTTGTGTGTCCAACAAACTCCAAGTCCCCAGAGTATGCAGACTATGACTTATTTCTTTCTAAGTTTTTAGAAATTGTCAAGTTTGTCTCTAGAGTGAAAATGGGTTTATCAGGTTATTGTCATCTGACAACACTATTCATTTACTCTTATCTCCCATTGCTTTTCCTCCAAGCTCCTGTGTACATCTGCTGTGAGCAACCATGAAGTTCCTGTTCATAGGAGTTAATATAGTTCACAAAGGAATTAAGTGGCTCCTCGTTTCTGTATCAGTTACTTCATGAGCATGGTTGGTGATAGTCAAATTCTGGGGGACTAGCTACCATTCTTATGGAGAGTGGTCTGGGAAGTCAGTGGACAATCTTCCCCAAGCGACATGCCTCTATAAGCTGCTCTTCAAACTACCACAACACACCACAGAAGGTAAATGAGATAAGATATACGTGACATTGCTGATTCTGTAACAGACAATAATTACTGCATGTGCTATTATGAAATAAGTTGAAGAAGAAAAATACTTCATTCTTGGGTACTGACCTGCAAGCCCCCGGCTCCTTCCATGAGGGGGAGGTGGTAATGAGCCCATGGCTCTGGAATAAAGTGAGACAGGGTAGAGGGAGGGCACCATGGGAGGCACAAAAGTAGGTGATGGAAGTAGAGTAGAAGGTGGTGGAGGGTTTATGTTGACTCCTTCAAGGATACTCTGTCTCATCTTTTCCACTTTGGTTGCCAAGTCAGCCTTCAAATAAGGAATAAAATAATAATAGCAGCTGCCATTTTTTTTTTTCGCTTCTCCTGTGTTTCAGTTACATTATTGGGCAATCTAGGTACAGTCTTAAATATCTATTTCCAGTAAGAGAAATCAAGGCCTAGAATTAAACAGTTTGAGGTAACACGCTCAGGAAAGCCTATCTGACACCAAAGTTCCCACTCTTCACATGACACCATGTAACCACCATATTAGGTTTGACTAAGAACTTGTAAGGCACATTGACTAAAACTTTAAAACTCCTTTGACTAGGTCAAGGAAACAAATATAACAGTATGTATTTACTGATGGTCCATTACATGGCCCACAATAGGCTAGGTCATTTTTTAAGGGGGAGGTAACAGAATAAGGTCAATGAGGAAAAACAAAACTGATATATACAAAGCCTTTTAACCTTTTCCCTAAACACCAGGATCAAAGACCCTAACCTCTGTCCAGCATAATGTCTAGAGGTTGGCAAATTTGTTCTAAAAAGACCCAGATAGTCAATTCCCCCCAAAAGATAAAGAATTAAGGATTTCTTGCTCTTTCCTTTCCTTATCTTTCCCAGGGTTTCAAAAGAAAAACAAATCCCCTGCTTTTTCTCTGTCATCTATTTTATTACCTTCTTCTATTTTCAAAGTTACTTTACAAGAACTATCATCACTTGCAAAAGTAACTTAAGAGTTTTTGTAAATAAAAGGAAATGAAACAATAAAACTGGAGGAAAGACATATATCTCACTATTTTGTGGGAAGGACAGACTCAGAGTAAGAAAGGAATATAAAAACTTGAAGAGTGGGGCCTCCCTGGTGGCATAAGGGGTTAAGTCGCAACAGTATGAAGCTATCAGCAGCCACTGCAGTAGAAGTTAGATCCACAGATGGCCAGGGAGCTGACCCACATCATGCAGCAGACCTCTCTTGTCTCAACCACTGCTCCCCTCAGCAGTGTATTTCAGAAGTCCATCTGCCTGTTCTGTTCCCCACTCTGTCTCTGGTGAATCATCTCATCCCCCTGCACCTCTGGCCTGCACCCCAGTTCTTGTATGCATAAATAAATAAATCTTTAAAAAAAAAACTTGAAGAGCACAAAAATTAAGTTGCCAACACATGTTTTTATAACGTATTCATCTCAGATTCTGGGTCATGGGATTATCATTGACCAAGTTACATTAGGGTCAGACAAGCTTTCCCAATTTTGCTACCTTTCTCCCCAATGTCACTGACCCTTTGCCTCCCTGTCAATTCTTCCCAACCTTAGATCAGAGATGGCCCTTAGCATAGCAGCTGTCCAACATGTTGGTACCTGGCCATCACAGAGCTCAATCAGGGATACTTGCTCTTGGCCTGCTTTAATTAGCTTGCTCTGGAACAGTTTGCCATCGAAGTAAATCCAGGGACAGCAGTGTTCCCACGGGACTGGCTGGCCACAGGCATCATTAGCAAATAGAGCTGTATCGACCCCACTCATGAAAAGGGCAGCAAGTTGGATCCCTCGGGCATCCAGTTTCTCAATCTGAAACCACCACAGAGGAAAAACTACTATTAAAAAGTTACTGTTATCAATTACATTTAATCTTATTCCTGTCATGCTGATTATCTCAGTTAAATTTGATCATTCTTTTTTTTAATATAGACATTTTAGTGTACAAGAATCTTCTATGAAAGTCTTTCCCTGAGATATATGAAAGATACTCATTATTTAAAAAAAAAATCAGACAGCAGCAATAAAAATTTAAAAAGATACCAACTTGGGATACTATTTTTTTATCTGTCAAATCAGAAAAAAAATCAAAACTAAAGACCAAAATCATACCCAATGCAGATGAGAATGCAGTGAAATAAATGGGCACACTCATATAAAGCTGATGAGTATCACAACGGACACAGCAGAAATCAAAAGAATAATCAGTAACTACTATGAACAGTTATATGGAAACAAGTTCAACAATCTAGAGGAGATGGACAAATTCCTACAACTCTACAATCACCCAAAGCTAGATAAAGAAGAAATAGAACACCTAAACAGACCAATTACAAGCAGCGAAATTGAAATGGTAATTAAAAACCTCCCCAAAAACAAAAGCCCAGGACCTGATGGATTTACAAATGAATTCTACCAAACATTCAGAGACGAATTAGTGCCTATCCTTCACAAACTCTTCCAAAAAATTGAGAAGGAAGGGACAATACCAAACACGTTCTATGAAGCCAATATTACACTAATACCAAAACCGAATAAGGACAACACAAAAAAGGAAAACTATAGGCCAATCTCCCTAATGAACACTGATGCAAAAATCCTCAATAAAATTTTAGCTATCAGAATCCAACAATGTATCCATAAGATAATTCACCACGACCAAGTTGGATTCATTCCAGGGGCACAAGGATGGTTTAACATCCGAAAATCAATCAACGTTATCCAACACATCAACAAAAAGAAATATAAAAACCATATGATAATATCAATAGATGCTGAGAAAGCTTTCGACAAAGTGCAACACCCATTCATGATAAAAGCCCTTGAAATTCTTGGGATACAAGGAACATACCTCAACATCATAAAGGCCATCTATGACAAGCCAACAGCCAGTATCATTCTCAATGGTGAAAAGCTGAAAGCAATTCCATTAAGATCTGGAACAAGACAAGGATGTCCACTCTCACCACTGCTTTTCAATATAATACTGGAAGTCCTAGCCAGAGCAATAAGACAAGAGAAAGACATCCAAGGAATCCAAATAGGAAAAGAAGAAGTCAAACTATCACTATTTGCAGATGATATGATAATATACATAGAGAACCCCAAAATCTCCACAGAAAAACTAATTCAACTCATCAATCAATTCAGTAAAGTGGCAGGATAAAAAATCAACACGCAAAAGTCAGTGGCCTTCCTATACACAAACAATAAATCTGAAGAAGAAGAAATCAAAAAAACCACCCCTTTTATTATCGAAACAAAAAAATCAAATATTTGGGAATAAATCTAACAAAAGAGGTAAAGGACCTATACAAAGAAAACTATAAAACACTGTTAAAAGAAATAGAAGAAGACACAAAGAAATGGAAAGACATCCCCTGCTCATGGATTGGAAGAATAAACATTATTAAAATGGCCATCCTACCAAAAGCAATATACAGATTCAATGCTATTCCAATCAAAATCTCAATGGCATTCTTCAAAGAAATAGAACAATTATTGATGAAATTCATATGGAATCACCAAAAACCCCGAATAGCCAAAGCTCTACTGAAAAAAAAAGAAGGAAATGGAGGCATCACACTCCCAGACTTCAAACTATACTACAAAGCCATAATCATCAAAACTGCATGGTATTGGAACAAGAACAGACATACAGACCAATGGAATCGAATAGAAAATCCAGAAATAAACCCACAGATTTATGGTCAACTAATCTTTGACAAAGGAGCAAAGACTATGCATTGGAGCAAAGAAAGTTTGTTCAATAAATGGTGCTGGGAAAACTGGGTCGCTACATGCAAAAGAATGAAGCTTGACCACTACCTCACACCATACACAAAAATCAACTCAAAATGGATTAAAGAACTAGACATAAGACCTGAAACCATAAAATACATAGAAGGAAATATAGGCGAAACACTACGGGATTTGCACATCAAAGACATCTTTACAGACACATCACCCAAAGCAGTGATAGTGAAGAGAAAGATAAACAGCTGGGACTACATCAAATTAAAGAGCTTCTGCACAGCAAAAGAGACAATAACAAAAACAAAGAGAAACCCCACCAACTGGGAGAACATTTTTGCACCCAACACTAATGATAAAGGACTGATCACAAAAATCTGCAAAGAGCTGATGAGACTCAGCAACAACAAAGAAAATAATCCAGTCAAAAAATGGGCAGAAGAGCTAAAAAGAAACTTCTCTGAAGAGGAAATGCAAATGGCCAACAGACATATGAAAAAATGTTCAACATCACTTGTCATCAGGGAAATGCAAATCAAAACTACCATGAGATACCATCTCACACCAGTGAGAATGGCACATATTAAAAAAACTAGCAACAACAAATGTTGGCGAGGATGTGGAGAAAAAGGAACTCTTGTGCACTGTTGGTGGGAGTGCAAACTGGTCCAACCACTATGGAGAGCTGTGTGGAGATTTCTGGACCTACTAAACATAGAGCTTCCATATGATCCAGCAATTCCACTCCTAGGTACTTACCCAAAGGACACAGAAACATCAATTCCAAAGAGCACCTGCACTCCTATGTTTATAGCAGCACTGTTTACAATAGCTAAGCTTTGGAAACAACCCAAATGCCCAAAAATAGATGACTGGATCAAGAAGATGTGGTACATATATACCATGGAATATTACTCAGCATTCAAAAAAGATAAACACATGCAATTTGCAGCAACATGGATGGCACTGGAAGGGATCATGCTCAGCGAAATAAGCCAAAAAGAAAAAGAAAAATACCGGATGGTCTCACTCATAGCAGGAATCTAGAAAACTTAAATAAGGGACCAGGAAAATGAATATAAGAAAGTGAAAATCAAAATCAACAAAAAAACTATGAACCAGAGACACTTTTTGGGGGGGGGGGGCGGGAGGGGAAGGATTGGGGTCAGAATGGGGCGTTTGCAATTGTATGGGGGAATATAAAAATAAAATTTAATATTTAAAAAAAAAAAAAAAAAAAAAGCTGATGAGTAATGTATATTACAATCAAGTAATATGTATCAAGGACCTTGAAAATGTTCACGTTGACTTAGAAATTCTGCTCTTAAGAATCTATTCTGAGGGCCTCCCCGGTGGCGCAGCGGTTGAGCGTTGGGTTGCGAAGCTTCCTGCAGCCTCTGCAGCGCCAGTTCGATCCCCGGCTGCTCCCCGGACACCGGAGGAGGGTCCCACATGGCGCGCAGAAGTCTCCTGCCGCCCGCTGCTCCCCTCAGCAGTGTACTTCAGTCCTTCTGCCTGCTCTGCTCCCCGCTCTGGCTCTGGTGAATTCTCTCTCACCCTCCCGCGCTTCTGACTGTACCCAGTGCTTGTATCAATTAATCAATCAATCAATCAATCAATCTGTATAAATAATAAATAAATAAATCTTTAAAAAAAAAAAAAAAAAAAAAAAAAAAGAATCTATTCTGAGGAGGTAGGGCTGAAAATAAAGCTCTGTGCATAAAAATGTTAATTACAACATTACTCATAATAGGGGGAAAACATGAAACTAAATGGCCAACACTGTAAAAATTAAACAATACATCTATATGAAAAAGTGTTATTCAGTAAAAAAATTTAAGACAGAAAATATATGTGCTACGTTAAGGAAAAAAATACAACATATAAATACGCATTTCAACTGTGTAAGAAACGCATGACAAGAGACTGGGGGAAAAAACATCAAAATGGACTGAAATGGAGACCAACATGGCAGCAGGGAAACACTACAATTAAGTCCTCCCATTAAAAAAAAAAAAGTTAACAGGGAGGAAAAGCGGCAGGTCCCTGTGAGAACTGGGACACGGAAGATAAATGGGTGACTCTGACAAACTGCCCGTAGAAGAAAGTTGCCATAAAAGAGAATGAGAAGAGAGGAAAGCTCAGAATCCTGCTACCCTCCTGCACCCACAAAGTCAGCACTCTCTGACCAATATAAAGGAGGACAAAAACAAAACAAAACAAAAAACAAAAACAACCAACAAGAACAAACTACATATCAAGTGGGACACTAAGTAGAAACAAACTATTTCAGACACTGCACCCTGTGAACTGCAACTGTGGAGAACCCTGCAGGAATCACTGTGGAGGTGAGCAAATGGCTCAGGGGTCCATCAGAGGAAAACAAGGACTCCAGGGAGACCTACAAATAGCCCAAGGCCAGCCAGTAAGCTTGTGCAGAAAAGAGGCTCGCTCGAAAAGCATACATGGATCACGGATAGCGACTGCCTAGGTCCCCGTGCCTGCAACCTAGGCTTGCTGGGAGACACGTGGGAGCCCTCATCGAAGTAAACGTCCCTCACTGAGTAATCAGAAACCAGGCGCACCAACATGGGAGCAGGGTGAAAAAGGCGCCATTTCTGCGGACACTGAACTGGGCTACAGCCCGCATCCTAATTCTGAGGGCTTTGGGAACTGAGACCCAGGGCACGAAATTTGGGGCGTGGGATCCCCATGACGGTGAGGCACAGGACAGACACAGAACCTCTACGCTGTTGAGGCGCTCCACACCACTCCCACTCTGTTCCCCAGACCCACTGGGAAAAAACAGTTCTGGAAGGATACTAGGAAAGATCTCTGGCGCCACCTAGTGACTGGAAAAATCACCAACATCCTGATAGTTGGAAACCAGGGATCCCAAAAACACCCTCAGGCTCTGAGAGAGGGAGGGCCACACAAGTGGGGGTAAGGAGGGAAATAAGGTATGGAGTTAGACCCCATTCTGGAACTGAGAGCCAGGTGCAGGATCCAGGGCGTGGGACACGCCATAGCAGCGGGCACTGCACAGGGTGTCAGCCAGC